ACGTAGTGATGCAGACAGAAGCGTGTACAGTATGAGCCAATCAGTGGCAGTAATGACAGAGCATGCGCTGTTATGCAAAAACCACGATAGAGTGAAGCCGCGGAAGTCGAAGCGCGAAGTGGCGGGGGTTCACTGTACTACATTATGAATATAATTAGTACCACTGAATTAGGCACTTAAAATGGTTAGAATGGCAAATTCTATATATTTTTTATCACAATTAAAAAACGTTTATGGAGCAAGGGGAGGGGATTAGGAGAAGAAAGTCTAAAAGGGGGACAGGGATGAAAATGGTTGAGAAACAGTGGTCTGGGGCATGTGCTTCCCACCACCATTGCATGCAACCTCTTGAGTTATTTTTTAATCCTTTGAGAACAAATAGAAAATGTAGCTACATTTCATTGATAATAGGGCTCATAATCTGCCTAAATATACTAATTCTGAAATAGCTAGTGTTGCTAGCTTCAATGTATTAATTACGTATTTATCAAATACAGCTCCATTAACTGTTACAATTAAAACTCAGAGTGTATTTCAAGTAACTGGTAAACAGTGCCTTTTTATTTTCAGTATTGAAGTATTTACACATAAAAGCAGCGGAAATGTGTGAGGATTCATTTCTTAAAATATATGCTGAAAGAGAGATGGCATAATTTTTTAAAATAGTTATGCTTCAGAAAATAAAAAAGTTATGCTTCAGTCACATTAGCCACCCCTCAAGTGCTAGCCAGATGATACAAATCGGTGTTCCTCCTTGCGGGAAGTTCTGTTGAGCCATACTTGTCTCAGTAGTTCTCCTTATTGGCTATGTAATATTTCATAACCTGGGTATTCCATGCTTAATTCACCCATCCCTTTTCTGATAGGCACTTATTTCCATTGCTTTTGCTTTTATAGACGGAGCTGCAGTAAATGTCCGTGCAGCTGCCTTTTCAAGCCTATTTCCAAGCCCTCATCTAAGGTGGTGGGGTAGTGGAAATGAGCTTGCTGGGTTGAAGGGAGCACACACATTGAATGTGGATGGGTACTGCCAAATTGCCCTCTAAAGAACTGCCCATTTACCTTCCGCCAGCAGCAAATGAGAGTACTGAGCCTGCTTATCCTTGTCCTCACCAGCGCTCGATACTGCCGATCCTTTGAGTCGTTTTCCTCCAGTCTGCTGAGTGAAAGATGACTTCTTTTACATAGAGCAGGCCTGAGATGTTTTCCCCTCCCATAAATCAAATCAATACAATACCGCAGGCTGGTGGGGAGCCTGGGCCCTGGGTCTTAATTTCCACATGCTGTCTCTGCGTGCCAGGGTGACTGGGGATGCTCCCAAGCCTTCCTTGGAGCAGGCTGTCTGGTGTAATCCTAGACCAGGCAAGCTCTCGGTAAATTATTAACACTGCAAATGTGCTTGCAGCCCTATCTGCAGAGTCTCAGTCATGGGCCATAGAAGGCAGGTTTGTAGGCGTGTTTGGCTGTGAGAATATTTAGAACCTTTTTGGTAAAACAAGGTGACCCTATTTACACGGTGATGGGTGAGGCTACCTGTAGCCATGTTCATCCATCTTTCCAGTTTATGAATTTAGAAGGCATAGGAGTACATAGGAGCTCTCCTCCCCAACGTGGTGTGAGGCTACAGGACTGAAGCCCTACCTCCCCTGCTCCCCTAAAGCTCCCCCTGGTCATTAAAGTCTGACTTTCTGTTATCCTTGGGAAAATAGAGGTCCTTGGGTGGTACGCGGACTCTGCCTCCAACTCCTAGCCTAAAGATTAGTCATGTGACCCACCCAGCAGCACCGTGGAAGAAAGGCCTGGTGATGGATGCTTAGAAAGCCCCGCTGAGCAGCTCTGCTCAGTAATGCCTGGGGTCGCCATACTTCAGAACTGACCCAATGACATGGGGCTGGCTGACTTCCGTGCTGGTGGGAAAAGATAGGGACCTGGCTTCTCTTACACAGGGGGCTGATGGGAAGGTAGAATGGGAGCAGGAATGGAGCCAGACAGGAAGGCCTTGCCAAAGCATGGTGGAGAAGAGAGGGAGGGAGCTGGCTTTTATCCCATGCTGCTCCTCCACCTCCCAACAAGGAGCCTGGGGACCCCAGATGTAGTCACGGTCCTCTGCTCACTTACTTAAAGGAACACACCTGCCTGTGGTAGCACGCTCACTCTTTAGCGAGAAACCCCGCCTCACACCTGTTATTCCCTGTCTCTGAGTGTGTGCTTTGATGTCGGGAATGTGGAGAGAATGGGCGTGGGCACCCGCCTGGTGGGATGGGAGGCTTCGAGTCTTGTCATAGCTGGTCTGGTGGTGAGGGGGTCCTTTGCTCATCTCCCACGTTAGTGGTTGTGAAGACGGTTCTGACTGGTGGTAGCCTGTGCGTGTCAGAGGAGATCTGGGACCTATAGGGTTTTAAAAGCGATGACCTTTTGTAATAAGCACACTGCCCAACCTGCCTCCCGAGACACTGCTGAGTGGCGTTTCATAGTGTGTAGTTGAGCGCTGGGCTCTTTCTGCCACACGTGGACTCCAGACCCCCGTGGGGAGTGCCAGGACACCTAGCTGACCGGCATAAGCCTGTGGATCTGTAAGTGAGTGCCACGTGGTACAAGAACTCTTCCCACTGAGGTGGCTTGAGAGTAGAGAAAGGGGTGAGGCCCTTCCAGGGCAGGGACCCAGGTTATCTCCCCATTGAAAAATCAAAGGGAAATGGCTCCTGTGGTTTAAACAACCCCCTTAAAAGACATCTGCAGCCCCCTGATTCCAGCAGGCCCCCTTTGGCCTTCTGTGGGGTCTTGAGGATAACCTGTGGAACGGGGACTCATCATGTGGGCTTGCTCCTTGCCTGCTGTGCTCCGTTGTCCAATCATCCCTTTATGGAGACGTAACTTCATCCTGTAAAACGGACCTTATTCAAAGGCACAAGTCAGTGCTTTGTTGTCGTTTTAGTCTACCAGCGTTGTGCAACCACCTCCAATTCTTACAACGTTCTCCCCACCCCACAGAAGAAATTCCTGTCCCCATTAACAGCCCCCACCCCCACCCCTGGCAGCCTCTGATGGGTTGCGTGTCTTCAGGGGGTTGCCTCTCCTCACATCTCCTTTCAATGGGAATTGATGCTGCATCCTTTAGGACCTTTTGTGATTGGCTCCCTTCACGCAGCGTGCTTTTTCGAGGCTTGTCCCTGGTACAGCATGGATCAGGACATGGTCTCTTTTCACTGCTGAGTAATCGTCCAAGGATCACCACTCCATCTTTATATTCTGGAGCAGGAGAGCCTGCCTATGTTCTTGCTCTGCCTTCTCTTTCCCGTGGTTGCAGGAGACAGCTGAGTTTCACACTGGGCGGGAAATAGACAAGCTAGACTGGTAAGCCCTACTCTGAAATGTCTCCCCTGAACTGGGGGCCGCCCCACTCTGCTTCTCCCAGGAAGCTGGGAACAGTCTCAGTGCTGGCCCTGGCAAGGTCCAAAGGAGATGTTGCCTCCACTCCCCACCTGGGGCTCACATGGGGCTCGGTGAGAAACTGCTGGATAGATACAGTGAGTCTTCAGAAGGACTTCCTGATGAGCGGCTGGGAAGTGAACCACCATTGTCTTGGTCCCCAGGAGAAATCTCAGATCCAGAGGGATCTCTGGCGGATTGAAGATGTCATTGCAGGCCTGAGTGCGAATAAGGAGAACTTCAAAATCCTGGTGGAATCGGTCAAAAACCCAGGTAAGGGGGCTATCTTCCTGGGTGTGGCTGCGGGACCTTTGCCGGGAGGTGGGGAAGTTTGGGGACCAGGGCTTGGGTGCGTGGGGTGGCCTTGTGAGGGTCAGCTTTGTGAGGCTGGCCCTTCCTGGCACTGAATTGGCCCACATGGAAGGTCTTTGTTCTGACTATGCCCTCTTGCCCTGGACCCCTTAGAGAGAAAAACAGTGCCTTTGCTTCCTCCTCCGCCTGTGCCTTCTCTCTCAACTTCCGAGAGCAAGTTGTCCCTGCAGCCCAGCCCTCCCACCAGCCCGGTGCGGACCCCTCTGGAGGTTCGACTCTTCCCCCAGCTGCAAACCTATGTGCCGTACCGACCTCACCCACCCCAGCTGAGGAAAGTGATGTCCCCCCTCCAGTCGCCAACCAAGACGAAGGCCAAAGCTGTAAGTGTTGGTGCCCAGGAGCAGAACAGCGGGGCCTTTCCTTTCTGGCAGGTGCTTGCCCCTTCTGCCCCTAACTAACTGCTCGTGAGGGAAAAAAGCTTGGGGATCTAGAAGCAGCTGGGGTCCTCAGGGAGCCCTGAGCCCTGAGCAGCTAATGGGCAGTGCTGACTCTGCCACTTGCCTCTGACTCTCAGAGGTGGTGGAACCTTAGACGTGACCAAGCCCAAGCCCTCCCATTCTGCAGCTGGGAACACTGAGGCTCAACAGGAGGAAGTCGCGTGCTGACGGTACTTTGTGATTGGCACCAGGCAGAGAGGTGTGTGGTGGTTGGCGGCTGGACCCATGCAGTGAGCGGGCTTTCCCTGCAGGTGCACAGCCTGGGTGACAAGCTCACCCCGGCCAAAGACCATCCGTATCTGCAGTGGATCACTGCCTGGCTGTAAGGATGTGTACAATTATCCCAATAACCTCCTAGATTATAGAGAGGAAAAGCAGTAGCCTCATCCTACAGAGAAGAAAACTAAGGTCTCAGGATGTTGACATCTGCTTCAGGTCTCCATGCTAGTTCGTGAGGCTGACCCTGCTCTTTATTCTGGGCCTTCTGCCGCCTCACTGGATAGTCACGCCGTCAGGTCCTGGCTCACAGTGTTGACCGTGTGAATGCCTTGACCTGTTTGAGGTAGAGAGAGCCCAAGCACAGAACATGGCTATGAAAAGCGAGAGCGTTTACCCTCAGAATCAGGCCAGGGTTTGGGGAGCAGGGCTGGTCCACATGTAAGGGAGGTTATAGCAGATGGGACCTTGGAATGGGGACCTCAGGTTTTTTGCCAACAAAGGGTTCCTTGGGTTACCCAGACTGTGTGCCTAGGTTCTCCCATGGGACCAGTGCACAGAGGTGGGAAACCGCAGGGGTTCCTGTACTGGGAGCCTCCACTGTCCCACTTCCAGCAGGGCCCTGGGCTGCCAGACCCTTGCCATCACCCTGGCTGTGGTCCACGACCCAGTCAGAGTCACTGTGAATCTCATCATCTTAAGGTATCCTTTCCAACCCCGGGTCCAGGAGGTGGGCTGCATCCACCCCTAGGACAGAGGAAGAAAAGAAAACAAATGGCGTGGCTGTCGGACTCAGGAGGACGATGACATAAAACAGGCTGCCCGCTGGCTGGGCCAGGAGCAGAGAGAGGTGCTAGGCAGGAGCTGGGATCCTGGATGCCCCGGCCTTGTTCTCGGGCAAGTCCATCCCTCTCTGGGCTGTCCCGGTTTTCCATGGTGCAGAATGAGCTGCCTGGACTGGGTGACCAGAGGTGCTGCCTCGAGACTGGCTCCTCTGTGGCTCCAGGGCAGGGCCTGTCAACTTGGCTGATCATGGCGAGGGTGGGGGTGAAACAGCCTCCATCCTGAAAATGGTATAAAATGAGTTTATTATTTGACAAGTCATTTGAAAGAGGCGGTGGTTACATGTTGGGCTGCTAACTGCAAGGACAGCTGTTCAAAACCAGCAGCCATCTCACAGGAGAAAGACAAGGCTCTTTACGCCTGTTTCTACTCCCGTAAAGAATTACAGTCTTGGAAACTCACAGGGGCAGTTCTTCCTAAGCCTATAGGGTAGGGTTCTCAACCTGTGGGTCGTGACCCCTTTGGGGGTCAAACAACCCTTTCACAGGGGTCACCCGATTCATGACAGTAGCAAAATGACAGTGATAAAGTAGCAACGAAAATAATTTCATGGTTGGGGGGTCACCACCACATGAACTGTAGTAAAGGGCCGCAGCATTATGAAGGTTGAGAACCACTGCTATAGGGTCTCTGTGAGTCAGAATTGACTTGATGGCAGGGAATTTAGTTTCTCCAGTTTGAGCCCTGTTATATATCCCACCCCCCTTTTCCCCTGCAGCCCTCATGCCTGGGGCCCCTCCCCAGTCTAAGCCACTCCCTCTCCATCGGAGGGAGCCTCCACCTTGACTTTTTGAGTCACAATTCCCTCGCTTGTCCTTGTGATCAAGCACATTTATTTTGCCTTCGTGCGACGTGGTATTTGTACTGGATGCTCTGCATTCCCCGCACTACTCGGTGTGTCCCCATTGTTGCATGTCGCTGTCGCACTTTCCTTTCTGTTGGGCTTGTTGTCTTGCATTCAATGTTTTTAATGTTTTTAATTTTTGACAAGTAACACTTTTGAAGGGTACAAAAATGAAAGTTATGAAAGATACTGAAAGGCCTGCCTCCTGCCCTCATTCTCCAGAGACCCTGCCCTCCTGCATCAGGGACAGTAAGAGCTTCAGGTTTACCTCTCTGGGAGGCTTTGAGAAATCAATCGGGACTGGAACCCTGGTCCCCGGAGAAGCTGTGGATATCTTGGGCCGTCGGCTTAGCCCTCACATGTTACAGTGATGTGTTGCTCTGAAAGAATGTGTGGGGTGCCCTCTCTTGAGCTCTGCAGTGTTCTGGAAAACAAAGCAAATTAGACTCAGAAAGGGGCCATTTAGGAAGAGGCAGGCTGCTATGGTCCCTAGGCCGCAGGAGTGGGTGTTCCTGGCAGGCAAGGGCCAGTGTGTTGTTGCTCTTCAGAGGAGCCCAAGCCTTCAGAAAGCACCATAGACTGGAGGGGGCTGGGCGGTCCAGGAAAGGAGAGACATTCATCCCGGCCCGAGAGTGGGCTGCTGTGGTGGGCAGTGAATCACTCCCACTGCCAGGTCAGTCGCCGAGCCAAATACTTAGCAACTCTGTCCAGTTTCAGTAGAAAGGGCAGGGACAGAAACGTGGTCCTTCCTCAGACCCCTGTGCTGTTGAAGGAGGGTTCCTGAGTTTGTGCAGCACCAGGAGCCGGCTGGGTCTAGCGCTGTGGAGAGTGGCTGTCATTCTCCAGTGGGAGTGTTGTTGCCGGCTGCCGCCAAGGCGGGGGCTGCGGCATTGCAGCCCTGGGCCTGGGAGCCCTGAGGCATGGAGCATTGGGACTCAATATGTGCAGGTGATGCTGAAAGTAGAAACATGAGACTCTCAAAATCCAGCCCGGAGACACGGCCATTGCTGTGCCCTGTGATCCCCCTCTCATCAGCCCTTTTTCCGAGCAGGAGGACGAGGCACCCCCGAGGCCCCCTCTCCCTGAACTCTACAGCCCTGAGGACCAGCCCCCGGCTGTGCCCCCTTTGCCCAAGGAGGCCACCATCATCCGACACACTTCCGTGAGGGGCCTTAAGCGGCAGTCGGACGAGAGGAAGCGAGACCGGGAGCTGGGCCAGTGTGTGAATGGGGACTCCAGGGTGAGCAACGAGGGTCCCCGGGCTTGCCCACTGTGTGTTGGGGGAGGAGCAGACGTAGCAGCTACATCACATCTACCCCTGGGAAGGCTTGACGGGCTCCGGCTCTGCCCACAGGTGGAACTCCGCTCATACGTCAGTGAGCCCGAGCTGGCGACCCTCACTGGGGACACTGCCCAGCCCTCCCTCGGACTGGTGGGTCATGACAGCAGGTACCAGACGCTGCCAGGTAGAGGTAAGGCGAGCCCCTCCACCCTTGACCATCTTCAAGACCTGGTTCCTACCTGCAGCTCTGGGCCTGGACATCGGCTGCAGCTGCCTGGACACCTGAGCCTGTGGCCCCATCCTTGAGCTCAAATCCCGACTCCCCCGCTTTCCCTGAATCTGTGTTGCGAACCACAGCACCAGTAAATACTACATAACGGCAGAGTGGTGATGCGTTGGACTGCTAAGTGCAAGCCAGCAGTTCAAACCCACCAGCGGCTCCAAAGGAGAAAGACGGGGCTCTCCACTCCCATACAGTTACAGTCTCCCAAACCCACGGGGCAGTTCTGCCCTGCCCTGTGGGGCCGCTGTGTGTCGGAGTGGACCTGATGCGTTTGTTTCCTTATGGAAGCAGGCACTGTGCGACCCCACTGCTCCTAACAGCGCTCTGAGGCGAAAGCTGCTTTGGTCCCAGTGTAGGGGTAAGGGCGGGAAGGCTAAGAGAGAACCAGTTTGCTAAGTGGTGGTGCCCAGTGTTGGGGCTCCAGCGTGGGTTCTGGAAACCACTGTCCGTGTGGGCTGAGATGCTGGGTGGCTGCCATCAGCTTGGCCCTCTGGGGCCTTTCAGGGGCCGTCCTTCCCTCTTCGTATTCTTCTAGGACTGGGGCGGACTTTTCTTTAAAAAAGCTCTCTCTGCAGTTGGGCCTCTTTCTCACTGCCTTTCCCTAGCCCTGCAAGACAGGGATGAAAACAGATTTAGACTCCTGGGCTCTGCTCAGCAGCCATCCCCTTCCAGGGAGCCTCCTGACCTCTCTGCACCCGGGCCAATTGGGATCCCTGAGCAGGTCGGCAGCTGGCCCTGCCTTGCTCCTCGCTTTATCTTCCTGTCAGCTCTCAGAGGTGGAAGGTCGAGGAGAAGGGCCCACAGACCTGGTGCTGGTACCTGTGGAATCCGTGCCTTCCAGCCCAGCATGCTGTCTTGGTGGCTTCTGGTCTGAGCTGGCCCCTGGGACAGAGTGGGCCCATAGCTTTTGCTGAGTTGGGGCACAGCAGCTCTTGGCATTGGGCTCTAGGCCCAGTTCCTGTCATTTGCTACAGCCCAGTGGTGTTTATCAATGGGAATTTGGCGTTGGGAAGGGCCAGTCCTGGTTGGCCAGGATTCCCTGGGCATTCAGGCCTCTCCTTTCGCTCGCGCGTTCTAAAATTATCAGCCAGTGTGATGCCTGTTTCCACTCCAGTAAGGCTCATACACTGTGGGGTGTAGGGGTGAGCTGACTCTGCTTGGGGCATCGGGAAGGCGTCCTCACTCAGGTGAAACTCCCGAGGCGGCTTGTGAAGGGTGTATGAGTTCATGAGGAAGGAGCAGGACAAAGGACATCCCTTCCCCCTCTCTTCTGAGTGTCAAGGAGCCCTGGTCTTCTGCAGGTGAAGGGAACCTAGCATAGCCCAAAGATCTACTGGGACACGGTCTCCCACCCGGGGCAGGTGGCACTCCTGGGCAAGTCCCCCAGCCCACACACTGGGGAGGCATAGGGGACAGAGGAGTGGGTTCTTAGCTGGACCTTGGTGGTGATTTGGATGGGCGGAGCCTGGCCGCCGCGCCAAGCACAGCCCAGCACGTCTCTCCTTGGCAGGGCTATCGGGATCCACATCCAGGCTGCAGCAGCCCTCCTGCATCGCCCCCTACGCCACGCTCCGCAGGGCTCTGCCTGCCGAAAGCATCAAGGCGCCCTTCCCCGTGAGTGGCCCGGGAAGTTTGTGAATTTCTCGTTGCTCTCTCATCTGCAGAGAGCGGGTGGTAATTGGTGAGCCTGTGCGCGCAGGGACACCTTCTCAGTGCTCACCAAGAAGGGCTATGCCTGCTGGAGCAGCGTCACCCTGACACCCTCCACCCTGCATTCCCCAGGGACCCCACTTTGTGCCAACTTGTCAGGGTCAGAGGGGAGCCCCCGGGCTCTGCCCCCTCCCCCAAAGACTGTATGTCTCTGCAGGAAGGGGTGCTTCCCAGAGTGAAGGGTACAGCCCAGTGAAGGCTGTGGGCATCTTGTGCCCATGTGTGTGCTCAGAGGTGGTGGTTTTCGATGGCCGGGAGGAGCTTAGCTAGAATGCATGCTTCCCTGCATGTGTACGTACGTGAGAGGTGAGAGGTGGCAGGGCGGTGCCCCAGCTCCAGCTCAGCGGCCCTGTCTCGCCCCCCGCCCCCCTCTCTGCAGAGACCCAAGAGTGCGCTGGAGCGCCTGTACTCCGGGGACCAGCAGCGGGGCAAGATGAGCGCCGAGGAGCAGCTGGAGCGCATGAAGCGGCACCAGAAGGCCCTGGTCCGGGAGCGCCAGAGGACGCTCAGCCAGGGGGAGAGGCCAGGCCTGCCTTCCTCCCGCTACCTCAGCCAGCCTTTCCCTGGAGACCTCGGCTCAGTATGTTAGGAGGGGCCAGGCAGGCGGGGTGGGGAGGGGAAGCAGCTCCTCAAGCTGGGCAGAGCTTCCCCCTGCTCGGGAACAAACCACATCCCATCCGCACCCCCAAGAGTGGCTGGGGCCCTAGATGGTCCCAAAGGGAATGTAGGCCTGACTGTGTCCCTGGCCGAGTGTGTCACTTGGTCAGGGTGACCCAGAACCAGAGCAGGCATGAGGAGGTCACAGCTGGTGTTGAGGAGCCTGAGAATGTGTCCAAAGGCAGTCTCTCAGGACTGAGTTTGAGAGGGGCCTGAGCCGGCGGCGTTCGGAATCTCAGCCGGCTCGAGGACGGGGAGTGAGTGCAGAGTTCAAGGAGGAGGAAGGGGAGATAATCTGATGAGGGAGAACACAAGCTCACCAGCCAGCCTTCCAAGTAGGTGCCCAGTGGGGCTTGCTGGCTACTGCTGGCATCCCACAACCCCAAGAGCTGGTAGCCTCCCACAGCTTGTGGTGCTAAGAAGCTTCCTGGTGCCCCCGCCCGAGAGCTGGGGAAACGGTGCTGCCCCCAGCGGCACTGCCCAGCACGGCACCCTGCCTTCAGCCCCTTTTGGAAACACCATTTGGCTTTTCCTTGTTTGAAGCCTTGCGTTTCCCTAGCTTTCTAACCTGACTTTACTTTCCCTGATTCATCGCACAAGCTCTCTTGCTTTCAGCGTGACCATCAATTGCCCCTCTAATCCTGCCTGATTGTGTTTACAGACGCTTCTCCTTTGCATCCAACCGGTCTCTGACTGGCCAGTGCTTTTTGTCCCCAGGCTTGTCTGGGGTAGCAGCTCCTGCCTTACAGCCTAGTGAGCAATCCCCTCGTGACTCACCTTTCTGCTGCCCTCATCCATGTCCACGCAGGCCCAAAATCCACCCGTCCCCGTGCCGTCCCCTAGGCTGAGTCACCCGCACCAGCCCTACTGGCCCTCCCTGAGGTTTGGACATTTCTGATCGACCCAAGTCCATGGCCTGTGCCTGGGCAGGAGCCGAGGACCCGGGAGGGGCCACACAGGAATACGTTCTGCCAAGTCTGAGGTTGGTTTGGTTCCAGTTCCCCGGTCCCATCTCAGAGTTCCGCATGGAAGACCTTTGCGTTTCTTGGGCTTATTGACTTGCGTGAACAGCACATTCTTCTGTGCTCTGTGCGGCTGTCAGCTCAGACACCGAAGGGGTAAGACCCAAAGCACCTAGACCCTAAAAGCTGCAAACCTGTCACCTTTCGAGCTTTAGAAGAAGGTGCTGTAGAGACTAACAACTGACCTTTCACAACACGTTGTCTCAAAAGTAGGAAGACACCCTAAGACCGGTAACTTCAATACCTTGTAATTTTCCCTCTGCATCAGCGCCAATAAACGTGTTACTTGATGAGAATGGATTGGCGTGGTTCTTCCCCAGGATGCATCAGAGAGTCTGTGAGCCTCCGCTGTTTGTGTAAACAATCAGGCAGGGGTAACAGGAGACCGTGTCCTGAGCAGGGGCGCTTGTGAGCGTGTAAGACGATGTTTGTTTCCTTTGTGAATCATTAAATTCATTTTCCACCCCTGGACCTTCAGTTGCCTAATCCTTTCAAACTGGAATTGGAAACCATCACCTGAGAGCGACTGCTTTGGTCTGGAGTCTGTACTGAGAGCTTGTGCTTGAATGGGTGAAATGTGCCTCTATGGCCGTGGGCCGGGGACTTGGGGGAAACGTGAGAGGGACCTCAAAAACAACTGTGACTGGGGTCCCATGAGGTGGACAGGAAGCAGCTGCTGGGATAAAAAAGCAGCCCTGCTTCTGCCCCGCAGAAGGGGCCTCTGAGCCTGCTCCCCATCCTTAGCACGCCGTCCCAGTGGAGGCCTCTTGGGTTTCAGGTCACGGAGCAGACCGAAGGAAGGTCTCCGGGAAGCAAGGCCAGCCCATGTGAACCGTAAAGCCGTGGGCAGAGTGTTCCTCCTGGGAAGAGAGCCTTGTTACAACGTCGGGGCTCCTGAGTAGCCCTGGAAAAGTTGTATTTAGCTTACCATCGCCATTATTTTTTTATGAGGTCGTCTCAGGTAGCACCGTACCTGCCTCGCCGGCCCCATGACACTCCTGCTTCCCCAGCTGTGCTCTGGGTGTGCACAGTGCCCTGCCTACCCGTGTCCTCTAGCGAGAGCCACGCTACTCCCACATAGTTGTCACCAGGGCCTCCAGGGACTGGTTTTCTCCATTCTGAGTCTGGTCCCTGTGGCTCTTGCACCAGGAAGCGTTCCCCGAGCCGTGGGCAGCAGACAGGGCAACTCCTTCCTCGGGAGCACTGTGCTGGATTCTGTTTGGGGGGGTTACCTTCTCAGACCCTAGAGCCTTCTATGTCCTGAGGAACCACCGTGAGCCTGGAGCCCTGGGCCTCAGACCTGTGCCCTAGGGTACCTGTTGGGACTCGGGGCCAGATCTGTGGGGAAGCAGCAGCCTAAAGAGGCCACACAAAGGAGACGGAGGCCTGTCGCCCGTCCTCCAGCACAGAGTACAGCTCACGGGGGGCGGGGAGGGGGGGGCTTCCTTCCCAGCGTCCCAGAACAGCTGTTTACAGGCAAATGCACGAGCCCCGCGGTCCCCTAGCTTTGCCCTCTGCATCACGGGGTTGTGCGGGCAGCTGTCAGCCTGACCGAGCTCTCAGCAGCCGGGGTGACCGCCCTTAACCCTCTCGTTCTGTTGCCAGTGGAAACGCGAGCAGGACTTTGACCTACAGTTGCTGGAATGGGCCGTGCGAGGGGAAAGGAAGGCCAAGGAGGAGAATGGCTGGTTGAAGGTGCAGGCCGTACCTGTCACCGAGTCGGACCTGGAGCCTCAAGACTATGATTTGGACATCAGCAGAGAGGTGAGAGCAGGCGCTCACTTCTTGCCACCCCAGGGGGCACGGCCTTTGGGCTCCCAGCCTAGCCAGCCCTGGCACGGGCACTCCTGTGTCCTCTTGGGTGGAGGGATGGCGGACGAAGCTGCTGGTGTGGTCCAGGAAGATGGTAGCTAGCAGCTTGGCGCAATGAAAGGAACGCAGGCTTCTCTGATACTGTTTCAAATCTTTATATATGGGAGGCAAGTCATTTCACCCCTCTGTGCCTCTGTTCTCTCAACATTAACGTGGGTTGTGGGTGAGCATTCAGTGAGTCAGGAGCAAGCGGTACCACAGGAGGATTAGCAGCATCTACAAAATTATGAGCGTGTGCCTATGTGCATGATAGGCGCGTCATGTGTCGTTCTGAGGGAATGTTCTCTGGAAAACCAGAGGTTGGTTTTGTGACTGGCCACTCCAGGACAACTAGGGACAATCAGACGTGAGGTAGTGATGGGCAGGTTTGAAAACGCGCACAGGAAATCGCCAACCTTGGTCGGGACTAGTTGATCTGAGTTCTTCTAGTGCCCTCTGGTGGCGAGCATCCATCATGACAAGCTGTTAGCCCTTAACTCTTCGACGTGGGGTGGGCTGCTGTGGGCTGCCTGGTGCCATTTGAAAGTTCTGAGGGGCAGTGTTGTCATGGCTGTTGGGTTCATCTTGGTACCCGTAGCCTTTCTCACCACCTGCCTCCTGTTTTTAAGGGGCAGGGCAGCCCCTAACCCTGTCCTGGCATATTTTGCCGCTGCTGCCTACCTGAGTCACATGTTCGGGGCTCGTGTTGTTTGGAGGCAAAGGGACCGTGTATGGGCAGAGAATGCTGAGGAGCTGCCCACTGCTGGTTCAGCTAGGACTTGAGGGGTTAGTGAGGCCCAACCCTGCCCTCGGACCTTCGCCCTTTGGCACCTGGAACAGCCCAAGGTCTGTGCTGTCTCAGATCCACAAAAGCTGCTTCCTCACCTGGCCTTGGCACTGCACCTGTATCCTTTACTGCCCTGATTGGCCTGCCAGCCAGGGAGAAAGTCCTTCCTTATCTCTAACCTGAATCCCTTCTGCTACAATGTAATCTGCATCCTTCCTCTGGATCTGCCCTCCTTGCAAAGAATAGAGCAGAGTTTATTTCCTACCATCCCTCAGCAGAGGGCAAGCCAGGGCCGCCTGGGTTTAAGCCCGGGTCCAGGTTTTCCCTGAGACTGGATTGGGCTTGCTTTTAGGAACTTCAGCCACCTGTGTTTAACTGGGCTTTTAAACATCTCCAGCCTGTGCAAAGGACATGGGCGTGATTCTTTGCCACCGGAGAAGTGGTGCCAGCTGAACTTGCCCTGGGGCCGCACGAAGTAGGGGCCCCACTGCTTTGTCACGGGAAACCTAGAGACACGGCAGGCTGCCTCCTGTACAGACCACGGGTGCTTTGTAGGGATAGACTGCATGACCCTTTTCCCATGCATCCGTCTTTGCCCCAGTCACTAATGAAGTGCCCGCAGAGGGCTGTGGAGGGCCAGGCCTTTGGGGAGACACAGGTAGACCGTGATGAGTGCAAAGCAAGAGAGTACTGGGAGAAGAGTGTGA